CAATTGCAGTCTCGACTTTCCTTCCAGTTCTGACAGTCCTAGTAGTGCGATCTGTAGATTGGACTCTGATGCATCAGAGAGATTATCTTCTTTCAAAATTCAGCTTGGGAGAAACGAAAATGAGAAGAAGTCTGCCCTGAAGAGGTACCTAGATTTCCAGAATTGGATGTGGAAAGAATGTTATAATTCCTCTACTTTGTTTGCAATGAAATATGGGAAGAAGAGATGCGAGGAGCTGTTGGCTGTTTGCGATGCTTGCCTTGGCTCCCATATCCCAGAGGAGATGCACTGTGGTTACTGCCACCAGAATGTTGGATCCATTAACAATTGTTTCGATTTCTCAGAACATGAAATTCAGTGCAAAGAAAACCGGAAATTAGATGCCAAAGTTATGTATACTCTTGATTCCTCTCATCCCCTGGGAATCAACTTGCTGAAGGCCATGTGTGCTCTAGTTGAGGTAAGCCTGCTGCAACTCACTAATGAATTTCCTGTATAAATGATTATTATTTATTTATTTTTGTCTTCGTTGTCTTAGATATCTCTTAATCTTTTTGTTACATTTCCCCTATTTGACAGGTATGTGTTCCACCTGAAGCCCTTGAATCAATTTGGACAGAAGGCCATAGAAGGATTTGGGGCAGTAAGCTGAATGCGTCTTCTTCTGTGGGTGAACTCCTAAAGGTTTTCATTTATTTCAACTTTTTGTGCAGTTCTTATTATGATTTGGCTTTCTCCTAACAGATGCTATAGCTATTTTTCATGTGCCTAAAATCATGATTCATTTGATGTTAACGAGTCGGTCATTGGTTAAATACGTTTTCTTGATATAGTTCCAATCTAGGTCTTACTTCAAATGTCATGTTGGTGTTGCAGATGGTCTCTCACCTTGAGAGCGCTGTAAAGCGAGATTACTTATCATCTAACTTCAAGACGACGAAGGAATTATTAGGTTCTACTCTTCAATCAGAGAGTGATGCTACTGATTCTGTCCTTCCATGGATACCCCAAACCACTGCAGCTGTGGCTTTACGACTTTTGGAGCTTGACGCGTCCATCATGTATGTAAAGCCGGCGAAAGTTGAACCTTCCGAGAGCAAAGAAGCTAGGGCATATATAGTGAGTATTTTTTTTATATAACCACTGCCACTGGTATTCGATCTATTAATCGATTAATCCTTCATGGTTCATGGGTATAATTTAATGTGACCCATAAAAATAGTTGAAACTTCTCTCAATTTTTTCTCCGTTTATTATACCATGCTCTTGCAGCTACTCTGCTATTTAATTTGTGAAATGCAAGCTAATCATTTATGTCAAATATGCAGAAGCTTCCTTCAAGAACCTCTTTTGTCATCAAGAACAAAGAACTAGAGTTAAAGGAACTAAACCATGAGGCTTCCGTGAAAGGAGAAAACTTCCCAGACGTGCTCAACAGTAGGCGCAACAACTATAAACGGGGAAGAGGAAATCGTGAACAAGGATCCAGTAGACAGTGGCAGAAGAGAGGTTCTGGTTCCAAATATGATTCGTGCAAACGAAGTGCTATACAGAACAATAATTTAACTCTCCATCTCAAACAGCAAGGCCAAAGAACAAATGGTCAGAGCTCTGGACATGGCCGGCGAACGGTTAGAAAGAGAGCAGGTAGGAGAGATGCTGATAATACGACGGTGGCTCGTATAGCCAATGTTAAACCTAATACCAGTGCTGTATCTTTGAGAGACATGGATGAAGAATGGAGGTTCAGCTTCAGGACTATGCCAATGGAAAATCCTCCTGATAGTAACAGTGCTGAGAAGTCGGATGACAATGCACAAGACGAGGGATACGAGCAAGGAAACTGGGAGTTGGATTATAATAACGGTGCCTCTAATGGGTGGAATAGGGAACCGGCAGTAGCTAGCGATGTGTGGAATAGGGAACCGGCAGTAGCTAGCGACGAAGATGTTGATGATTATGAAGATGGTAATGGCTTTGAACAGCCGATAGAGGAAGACGATGAAGATTCAGATGGTGATCTAGGGATGAGTGATGCATCAGACGAACGAGCTGCAGACAGAACTAGAAATGATGAAGGTTCAGACTCTGCAGTTTCCGAAGACTCCAGCGATTGAGAGCCACTGATGCATGAGTTTTGAAGCCGACTGTATCAGGGTTAGTCAGTGGGGATTACGGCAGCAGCTGCAGCTTAGATCCCTTCCCCTCCCACCCTAATGTTTAAGTAGTTATAGAAAAGTAGAGATTAATTTAGATCTCAAATGTCACTACTGATTAGAAAATGTTATGGCTCATTGTATAACTGATTTTTTTATTAATAAGGTATTAATTTATGAAACCTTCTAAATATGGGGTAACAAACATTACACAACTTCGCCTTGTCTCCAATGCTAGATGGATTACAACTTTTATTCTTCTAAACACCAGATGCATTGCAGAAAAACACAAAACTAAATATTACAAATCACTTCGCCATGTCCATCATCATCAAGTCCTAGTGATCAGTGATGACGGTCGACTCTTATGGTGCCAACTTCTTGATTCCGGATTTCCGCTCTGTGGTTAATCTCTTTGGGAATTTAATGTTGAACTTGATTCTCAAGTTACCTCTCCTGGAAGGATTTCTCGGTATCGGCATACCTTCCTTAGGGACGACCTCCTCGTAGTCACATTGGTGATGGGGATTGTCAAGTTCCTTCCATCCAATGTTGTGAGGTGTAGCCCATTAATGCTTCAGCAAGTGATATCTTGTGCGTAAACGTGCTGAGTGGCTTGTCAATTGTGAAGATGATATCCGTTCATTTCCTTTCTCAGGGAAGGTAATCTTTGTTCCATTGTCCCAACCAAACCAGGCTTGATATTTAATTTTCAGGATTTCCTCCACAGGCAATGTGTTGCCTACAGTCATAGACGGTGAAATTTGTTAGTCTCCCGCAACATGTTAGCAAACAGAAAGCACAATACAGCCATGTAATAGTATGAATAATTAGATATATACCCAGATACCGGAGTGTTCTGGAATGATCAATGTCGCCCATTTAATTCAAATTGAATCCCTTCTAGCTTATAGCATGCACAAAATGATCAAAACAATGCACCACAATTAGTATAATTCCATCTGTTGATTACTTCCTCGGATTCAATGTCACCCATTCGATTCAAATTGTTTCCCTTCTAGTTTCTAGCATGCAATCAAGACAAAATCCTTGAAGCAACTTTCCAATGACTACGTAATACACAAACACAGAAAACAAATGGAAATCAAAGGCAGAATTAGCAGGGGATACATACCCGCTAGCTTCCGCAATCTCTCTTGAAATCTTCATCTTCTTCGTGCTTCCTTCATACAAAACCTCGAGGCTACACGGTAATGTCTTCTCTATGGGAGCCGCTTTGCGAGGACCCTGACCAATTTTTCTTCCTTCATCAAACATGCTACCAGATGCCCTCAAACCACCTCTCATCCCACCGCCGCTGCCGCCACCATAAGAGCATCCTCAGCTCCCGTCCCCCCGAAAAACTCGGTAAAAATATCATCAGCATAACTGAAGTCGAACCTGGACCCTTCCCAGTTTGGAAAAACGTTCCACCAGGCCCACTAGCATCCGGAGGAAGAACGTTTTTCATATTTACCCCAATCTCTGAATTTTAGAAATTCAACATGAGATAATAAAATAAATATAAATATAAATTATTTATTATTTTATTTATATAAAATATTTTCTTTCACTTACGTAATATATAAAATATTAATAATAATTTTGAATCATTATTACAAGATCGAATTATAATTATTGTAACACCCTTTTTCCCCCTAACGTTGTTATGTGATATTATTGTATTAAATATAGTTCAGATAAAATATTTATGTGACGCATGTTAATTATTAGTTTTAGATTCTAGTTATGTATTCAAATTTTGAAGTTAAGTAAAATTTCTTACATTCGTGTCAGATCGAGATTTAAATATTTATTATATTACTATGTTATATTGAGTTGGGATTGATAGAGAAAATTCAATGAATTTCATTTCGGATTCAATAAATTTTACATTTATGATGGCCCCATTTTAGATAATGTTAGTAGAGAATGATTCTAAAGAATTATAATTGTATTTTAGAGACTAAACTTAACAATTTAAACCCTTTTAATTTCTCCTTCAAATTCTCGATCGGTTCTAGGTAATCTAACCTGATGCTTGGAGAGTTACACCGTTTTTAAGATTTCATTATTACACATAGAAGCCTCCTTCAAAGACAGAGAAGCAAAGTTAAAAGAACTAAACCACGAGGCGTCCGTGAACAAGGATCCGGTAGACAGTGGCAGAGGAGAGGTTCTGGTTCCAAAAGTGATTCGGGAAAACGAAGTGCTAGACAGTACAATAATTTAACCCTGCATCTCAAACAGCAAGGGAAAAGAACAAATGGTCAGAGTTCTGGACATGGCCGCCGAACGGTTAGAAAGAGAGCAGAAAGGAGAATTGCTGATAGTGGTTTGTATGGTTGATGTGGTTAAACCCAAGACCAGTGCGGTATCTGTGAAATACATGGATGAAGATGAGGAATCGGATGACAATGTACAAGACGAGGGACACGATAAAGGAAACTGGGTGGAATAGGGAACCGGCAGTAGCTAGCAACGAAGATGACGATGATTACAAAGATGGTAATGGCTTTGAACAGCCGGTAGAGGAAGACGACACAGATTCAGATGGTGATCTACGGATGAGTGATGCATCCAACGAACTAACCGCTGACAGAACTAGATATAATGGAGGTTCAGAGTCGGCTGTTTCCGAAGACTCCAGCGATTGAGAACCACTGTTGCATGAGCTTTGAAACCGACTGTATCAGGGCCAGTCTGTGGGGTTGACAGTAGCAACAGCCAGCTTGCTTAGACCCCTTCCCTCCCCACCCTAATATTTAAGTAGTTATAGAAAATTGGATATTAATTTAGATCTCAAATGCTACTATTGATTAGAAAATGTTATGGCTCATTGTGTAACTGAAATTTTTAAAGTATTAATTTATGAAACCTTATGGGGTAACAATACAAAATAGTTCAACATTACACAACTTCGCTTTCCCTGCAATGCTTAATGGATTACAACTTTTATTCTTTTGAACATCAGCTGCATTGCTGAGAAAATCACAAAACTAAGTATTACAGATCACTCTGCCATGTCCATCACCATCAAGTGGTATTGACAAATTTCAACCCATAAGTTTTTCCTAGTGATCACAGTCCAGGCTTATGGTGTCAACAGCTTCTTGATTCCGGATATCTGCTCTGCAGTTAATCTTGTTGGGAATTTAATATTGAACTTGATTCTCAAGTTACCTCTCTTGGAAGGATCTTTCGGTATCGGCATACCTTCCTTTGGGACAACTTCCTCGTAGTTGGGACTGATCACATTAGTGATGGGGATTGTCAAGCTCCTTCCATCCAATGTTGTGAGATGGACGGTGTAGCCTGTTAATGCTTCGGCAAGCGATATCTTCTGTGTGACAACCAGGTCATTGCCGTCACGTGTAAATGTGCTGTGAGGCTTCTCGTCAATTATGAAGACAAGATCCGCAGGGGTAACGTTCGGCTGTTCATTTCCCTTCTCAGGGAAGGTAATCTTTGTTCCCTTCTTCCAACCAGGCTTGATATTAATTGTCAGGATTTCCTCCACAGGCAATGTCTTCCTACAATCATAGACAGTGAAATTTGTAAGTCTCCCATAACATGTTAGCAAACAGAACACAATGCGGCCATGTAATAGTATGAATAATTCGATATATACTCGGATACCGGAGTGTCCCGTAATGATCAATGTCACCCATATAATTCAAATTGATCCTTTCTAGCTTCTAGCATACACAAAATGATCAAAACAATGCACCACAATTAGTATCCCTTATACGCAATTCTAGCTTCTATCTGTTGATTATTTTCTGGATTGCGAGTGTTTTGTGGTTCAGAGTTACTCATTCGATTCAAATTGTATCCCTTCTAGTTTCTAGCATGCACAAAATGATCAAGGCAAAACCCTTGAAGCAACCTTGCAGTGATTATTAATACTACATAACACACAAACACAGAAAACAAATGGAAATTAAAGGCAGAATTAGCAGGGGGGACATACCCGCTAGCATCTGCAATTTCTCTTGAAATCTTCATCTTCTTCGTGGTTCCTTTATACAAATCCTCAAGGCTACACGGTAACGTATTCTCTATAGGAGGAGCTTTACGAGGACCCTGACTCATTGGTCTTCCTTCACCAAACGAACTGAATATATCATCACCAAACATGCTACCGAATGCCCTCGAAGCACCTCTCATCCCACTGCCGCCACCGACGCCGCCACCGGGACCTCCTCCCATCCCCCCAAAGGGACTAGAAAACCCGAAAAACTCGGCAAAAATATCATCAGCATTTCTGGGGTTGAACCTGAACACATTTGGACCCTCCCCAGTTTGGAAAAACGTTGTTCCACCAGGTCCACCGGCATCTGGAGGTGGTACTTGGCCTTTTAACCCTTCTTCACCATACTGATCATAGACAGCTCGCTTCTGTGGATCACTTAAAACCTGCAAACATTAAAATTTGAAAAAAAAAATGGATTTAGACTTCGTATGTGTAAAAGAAATCTAATTTTGAATTGGTTGGCAATCCTATAATCCAAATTCACAGAACCCTGATCATAAATTAATGAAACCTAGCAAATAATTAATGAATAAAAAGCTAAGAAAAGAAGGGAGAAAGCTAACCTCATATGCTTCAGAGATCTGCTTGAATTTAGCCTCAGCTTCCTTTTTATTGTTAGGGTTCTTATCAGGGTGCCATTTCATGGCAAGCTTCCGATAAGCCTTCTTCAAATCATCATCATTTGCATTCTTGTCGACTTGCAGGATCTTGTAATAGTCTACACCCATCTTTATGTTTATCGCGTGCTTTTTTCTTGTGGCTTGTTTATCAATTATTGAAGTATAATGCTGTTGTGAAATGTGTTGCGTTTAAATGTTGCTGATTTGAGGGGGGAAATAAAGCAAACGAAGATGACGAGAAGGGTGTGGAAGTTTCCAGATAGTTAGCCCAAGTATTGTGACCCATCTACACGAGTTCTCCAGATAGTGTTATTTAGGAGAGGACTTTAGTATTTTACATTTTCTGAAAAAAAATTAACTTAATTAAAAATAGGATAAAATACATAAACAGTCACTTAATATTTAGGGTGTTTACATTTTGATCATTATACTTTCAAAACTTATGATACAATGATTAAAATTTTAATTTGTTTGCTTTACGATATTGTCATCATATGCGGTTAAAATATACTACACGTTAAAATTTTATTAATAAAAATAAATGTCGGTTTTTTCGCGCCTGGTTGGTCACACATATGTGAAAGCACAACATTGTAACAGTTTTATCCGTCGACTATGACTTGCTTTCCATCCACCTCTGATGGTGCCACTGCTCGCTGGATTAAACCGAATCCTGTTGAGTTAAAAATAAATGTCGACGGTGCATGTCCGACATCACCTGATATTCCGATTTTGGGTGTGATTGTTCGCGACAATAATGGTTTGATCCTCTCTGGTTTTGGACGCACTGTACCAGGCCCGAATGATCTATCCATTGTTGAAGCTCATGCTTTACCGGCGGATATTAGATGTGCTGGAGATTTTATAGTGGAAAGCGATTCTAGAAACCTGGTTACTCGATTACACTCACGAAAAATGGGCCTATCAATGGCCAGCTTTCATCTTGTTGCTGCTCGTGACCTTCTGGCGTTCAACCCCTTCATCCAGGTTCGATATGTTCGACATTCGGCAAACTTGAAATTTCAGCATATTCCTATCTTTTTCATCTTGTATAGATTTTTAAGCAATTTAAATACGTTTTGAAATTATTTATGATATATTTCTTATTTGGATTAAGTATATATGTCATTTATGAATGATGATTGAACTATTCTCAAATAATTATTTGTAACATTATATTAATTGTAGAAATTTGATGAATTTAATAACTATTCGTAATTATTTGATTAATAAATTTATTTACTTTATAATTAGAGAACATAATGATTTAGATTCTTGACTAGTTTAATCCGACTCGAAAAACATAAATCATTCCTCGTATTTAATTTTATTTGAGAAACATACACCTATTCAAACCAACTCAAGGGGTGTATTTCCTCTATCAAAGCCATCCAACTCAAATTTTGAGTAAAAATTTATATTCTACCCGATCATAAATATATAAAAAAAGTAAGACCTTAACTAATATATATATATATATATATAGAAACAATGAGTATTATAAAATATATATAGAAACTTTTGTTGTTACCATGGGTCAGATCGACTTAAAAGTTTTTCACCCTAAACTAAATTCCACCTCGTACTCCATAAAATCAGACTTAAATACTATTAGAAAATATACCCTATCGGATCATATCGAAATTAACCTATTTGGGATAAAAATGGCATCACAACCCCAATATTTGTTAGTGATCAATCATCGGAGTCGACCTTCTTGGTGCCAAGTGCCAGGGCCGACCATGAGCCAGCGCAAGAGAGGCGCCCGCCTAGGGCCAACAAAATATAATATTTTTAGTATAATATTATTCTTAGTTTTTTTTTAATAAATTAAAAAACTGTAAAATCTATGCATTTAGTACTTAAATTATATGTTTTAATCCGTTTTAGTATCTAAACTTTTAATTTTTTTCAAAATCATATATAATATTTAATTTTTATTTCATTTTAATACCAAACGTTAAAAACTTAATGCGTTTAGCACATAACTATCAATTTTGGTTTGTTTAGTACTTAAAATTTCAAAACAATTTAAAACTTAATGTTAAATTTTGAATGTGTACTAGAATGAAATAAAAAAAATTAAAGCTTTTAACGGCGGGTACTAAAATGAAACAAAAACTAAACTTAACTTATGGTTTTGTAAAAATTGAAAGTTTAGGTACTAAAACAGACTAAAACTGATAATTTAGGTATTAAACACGTAATTTACTCAATAAAATAATGAGGCCCATGAATTTATTAAGGTGTCAATTATCTTTATTGAATTTTATACTAACATTAATAAATTGTTCTTCCATAAAATTCTAATTTAATACTTATTTCTCAAAATTAAAAAAATCCAATTGAACTCTTTAAAACTTAATGAGAGGAAAAACTTTAAGTATAATTAGCATGTTTATTTTATCTTTCATATTTTATGATTCATCTGAGAATTATTATTTTCATTTTTCAATTTTTCATATTTCTCTCACACGTAAAGTCACAATTGTTTATTATTAACTATGGTGCTTGAATCATATAAAAAAATGTTCTTAAAATTCTAGGTAGATTATATGTTAGAAAAGCATTAATGTTGACACTATCATCAATGGTTTTGCATATAAAATGATCGAATGTAATATTTTTTATAAGTTTTTGTATTCATAAATATATTTTTTGGAATTTTTTATATCATGAATTACTATTTTTTAATTTAATAAAAAATCTAATAAATTTTTATATTACATATTTCTTAATTTTTTTATATTTTATTTTCACCCGAGCCTAAAAATAATCACGAGTCCACGACCAATCATGCCAAGTGCCAACGACTTTTTGATTCCAGATTTCTGCTCTGCAGTTAACCTCGCTGGGAATTTGATATTGATCTTGATTCTCAGGTTACCTTTCTTCGATCGATCTCTCGATATCGGCATACCTTCCATGGGAACGATCTCCTCATGTCTGGGATTAATCACATCGGTGATGGGGACCGTCAAATTCCTTCCATCTAATGTCGTGAGACGGACTGTGTAGCCCGTTAATGCCTCGGAAAGCGATATCTTCTGCGTGACGATAAGGTCATCGCCGTCGCGTGTGAATGTTTGGTGAGGCTTCTCGTCGATTATGAAAACCAGATCTGCAGGGATTGCATACGTCCGTACGTTTCCTTTATCCGGAAAGGTAATCCTCGTCCCCTTTTTCCAGCCAGGTTTGATTTCAATAGTCAGGATTTCCTCCACTTGTACTGTCTTCCTACAATACCACACGTTAAACTTTGTAAGCTCTCACCATTTTCGCAAACACAAAACAACAATGGTTCGTGTTCCAAATTTTCGCAGGATTTCCTCCAAATGGCGGGGACAGAAGACAAGAGGGAACAAAATGCAAAATTAGGAGAGGAGACAAACCCATTAGCATCTGAAATTTCTCTTGAAATCTTCACCTTCTTAGGGATTCCTTTATACAAATCCTCAAGGCTACAAGGTAATGTAGTTCCAACAGGAGGAGCTTTATGAGGACTTTGATTCATTGGTCTACTTCCACCAGAGGAACTGGATGCATCATCACCAAATATGCCACCAAATGCCCTTGAACTACCTCCCATCCCACTGCCGCCGCCCGCCGCAGCTGCCTCCTCCTATTCCCCCAGAGGGACTAGAAAACCCAAAAAATTCTGCGAAAATGTCATCAGCAGTCCTGGGGTTGACACCAGAGGGTGTTGACCTTGAACCACCATTCATCCCACTGTTACCACCACCTTCTCCCCTTCTCCCGGAGGGTCTAGAAAACTCGAAATACTATGAAAAAATGTCATCAGCAGTCTTGGGGTTGAGACCGAAGGGTTTTGGCCTTGAACCACCTCTCATCCCACTGCTGCCTCCTCCACCACCACCACTTCCCCCTGAGGGACTAAAAAACCCGAAATACTCTGAGAAAATGTCATCAGCAGTCCTGGGGTTGGACTTGGACCTAAACACATTTGGATCATCCCCAGTTTGGGAAAATGTTGTTCCACCACCACCATGTGGAGGTGGAACTTGGCCTTTCGGCTCTTCTTTACCATACCGATCATAGACAGCTCTCTTCAGTGGATCGCTTAAAACCTGCAAACATCAAAGTCGGGTAACTTTTTAGTATGAATGTAAGCTTCGTGTATGAAAAAAAGATGAAATTTTTTAGTTGATGGGAAATCTTATAGCCTAAATTGTCGGAGAACCAGATGATCAATCAGTGATTGTCAACAGAGGAACCCAACTCTTTCCTATGAAACTTAACAAATAATTAATAGCTAAAAAGCCAAAAAAGAAAGGGAAAACCCTCATAGCCTTCAGAGATCAGTTTGAATTTAGCCAAAGAAGCCTTCTTCAAATCATCATCTGTTGCATTCTTGTCAACCTGAATAATGTAATAATCTACATCCATCTTCTCTTGTACTTCGTCCTTCTCCCTAAAGCTTGTAGTTTCTTTCTTTTTTATCTTTGTTTTAGTCAATTATTAAAGTATGATTTTAGGATGTTTTGGAGAATAAAAAATAGAGAAAATAATCTCAGTCACAAAAAATATCTTATAATATACGATTTTAACCAATTTTTTTTTTGGATTTGCCAAAATGACCAACTAAATCGCAATGCGATCGATAATTCGCAACGCGATCTCCGGTATCGCAAATCAGTTTCCAGATTCGCAACGCGAACTTCGACTATCGCAACGCGAACTTGGACTATCGCAATGCGATTTACATATTGGCATTGCGATAGTCGAAGTTCGCGTTGCGATTTTCCAAATTCGTTGCGATAGTCGAAGTTCACGTTGCGATTTTCTAAATTCGTTGCGATAGTCGAAGTTCGCGTTGCGATTTATTCCAAATTCGCAACGACTGGTAGTATTGCATTTATTTCTTATGAATTTTCTGTAAAAAGATAGTATTCGCGCGGACGTGTCGAAGACACGTATTACCACGACCACGACCACGACCACGAGACGGACGGCGGCGGCGGCACGCGAGAGTCCCCCCTTGTTCTCTATCACTCAACAAGGAAGTGGGAAAGCCAAGCCTTAAATACCATTCCTAATAGTATTTCCAATACTATGTGGGATTGAACATTACTAACACTTGTTTCCAATACAATGTGATTATTCAGGAAACAATTAATAATCATGCACCTTAAAACAACTGAATCAGCAACCAATTGCATTAGTATTATACGACTAAATATGTCATAATTAAAAGTCAATCTACAATCAATCGCGATTATTGCAATTTTAAGCAAAACATTCAAAAATAATATCACTATTTAAGGCTCAATCCCACATAATATTGGGAACAAGTGTTGGTAATGCTCAATCTCACATAGTATTGGAAACACTATTGGAAATGGTATTTAAGGTTTGGCTTTCCCACTTCCTTGTTGAGTGATAGAGAACAAGGGGAACTCTCGCGTGCCGCCGTCGTCTCGTCTCGGGTCGTGGTAATACGTGTCTTTGACACGTTTGCGCGAATACTATATTTTTAGAGAAAATTCTTAAAAAACAAATGCAATACCACCAGTCGTTGCGAATTTAGAATAAATCGCAACGCGAACTTCAACTATCGCAACGAATTTGGAATAAATCGCAATGCGATTTGCGATACCGCAGATCGAATTGCGAATTATCGATCGCATTGCGATTTAGTTGGAAATTGATTTACGATATCGAAGATCACATTACGAATTATCGATCGCATTGCGATTTAGTTGGTCATTTTGATAAATAAAAAAAATTAATTAAAATTATATATTATAAGATATTTTTAATCATTAAAATTATTTTCTCCTAAAAATATGGTCCTGATTGCTGGAATAGATTCAAAGTTTCAAGCATTCTTATTCGTACTAGACAATGAAAAACTTGTCGTTTTATTGTCAGATCAACGGAGAACTTGTCCAAGTACCACTTATTCTATTGCCCATTCATTTTTTTAAATATAACTAATATAAGAATAAATGTATAAATTATATTGTTTTTTTAAAAAAAAAAAGTAGAAATCTACTTTTAGTATTCGAAAATTAAGTGAGACATGTCACATCTTGCTAATTTGGAAAAGATTATTTAAAATTAAAAATTTAAAAATATAATTTCTTTTAAAAAACTTAAAACTTTTTGAAAATCTCTAAGAAAATCCTAAAACTTCGAAAACTTTTATCCCAATCCCTACACTCACATATGCCATCTTCATTTGTCGTTGTTGTCGGACCCCCACTCGATTGAACCTTCAGTCGACGACAAGATTAATCCAACCACCCAAAATTTTACGAATCCCGACGAAATTAATGTTTAAAAAAATTTAAAATTCATGACACCTACGTAATCCGACGAACCCAACAGTAAGGGTGACAACAAAGTTGGCGGCGACCAAAAAGAGAGATGGCAAGGGAGGAGGCCACGTCAGTGATTTGAGATTTTTTAAATATAATAATACTTTTTAAGTTCTTTTATAATATTTTTTTTAAATTACCTAAATGTGACTTGTGTCATATTTAACGAGTTTTTATAATGATAGTTATGGTTGATGCACAAAAAATAATAACATTTATAACATTAGACATTTGAATTGAATGAAAAAAAGTTTAGGCATCACTTTAGAAAAAAAACAATATAATTTAGACATTTTTTTATATTAAGCCATAAATATAAGATTATTTTGAGCTTTTTTTTATTCAATATAACTTTTAAACTCAAAAAATATATTTGATGTTATTTTTTGAATAACCATTCCTTATTGTTATGATGCTCATATTGTATTTTATAATGACATGGCTTGATTGGTGACATAGTAAATGAGGTAATATGCTTTTATTTTTTAAATATCAAAAACTTATTAAACTATTTCTAAAAAATCATTTTAAATTTAAAATGTAAAAATATTTTAAAACTTAAATATATAAAAAATTAAAAATTAAATTACTAAAAGTTATATATATATATATATATATATATATATATATATATATATTAAAAGTGCTATTAATTTTTTTTAAAATAAAATATATTATAAACTATAAAATAATAAATTATACATTATTAAAAATAATTTATATACATGTAACATAAAAACTAATTTGATATGAGAAAAAAAGTTAAACACCTAAATAAAAATACGATTATATTTTAAATGTTTAAATAAAATGATATCTTTTAAATATTTGAATCAAAATGATATTACTTTAAATATTTATTTTTAAAATAAGCCAAAAATATTAAGTTTGATGGTTATCGATTATATTAGTAAAAACAGACTTGATAGTAAAAAATACGAAAATAATACAAAAGAAGGGGCTGGAATTGTTTTTTACAAGAAGAAGGGATGTCTACGTATAAATCTTCTCTTTTGGTATTTTTGAATTGACATTCTCAAAAAAGATTAAATGTATGCGAAAGACTCATCGTACAAGATCTCAAGCGTTAATGTTTTATTTTGGCTCAATTGGGAGTATAAGAAAACTTTAATCAATATCCATTTTCTGAATTAAATAATTATTATTTTTATAATTTCATATTAACACGTATCAAAAATAAAAATACCACATCGTCTTTCCGTTAAAAAATAAACATTGAACGAGTAAAAGAGCAAATCAAAATACTAAGAATGTGTTTGGTTCACGGAATATATGATTATCATTGGGAATGTAAGATTACCAGTGAATAGGATTACTGGGAATATTGTATTTTGTGTTTGGTTGGTTTAACAGGAATGTAAGATTACCGTGTTTGGTTAAAAGAATAAAAGATTATTAGAATGTATATTTGACCAAATTATCCTTATTATATATTTATTTTTTAACAAGTTGGAAAATATTTATATATTTTCTTTAAAAAATTTAGATTCATAAAATTTTATTATATATATATTTTACAAAATTGAAAATATAAAAAAGTTTAATGAATGGGTAAAATTTATTTTAATCCTGAACTTCATATAAAATTTTAATTATAGTTTTTTTTTTAAATCTAAAATAGTTTAAGGATAAATTTGTAATTTAACCTTCGTAGAATTTTTATTATTCAATGACAGAAGAATGATATTTTTGAAAAAAATAAAAATTTAAGGGCATTTTAATCTAAAACGCCGGTAATCCAATAATACCTAAGGAAATGGAGGTAATGACATTCCAGTAATATACCCAAAAAATTTACTATTGGTAATAAAAACATTACCTGGAATAAAATTCCCGACCAACTAAACATGAGAATATGAATTCTATTCCCATAAGAATCCAACGTTCCTTGATCTAAACACTTAGGGCTATAATTCGATTACTGACGGCGCAGCTTAACCTTGGTTGTTTAGAAAAATATTTGTCAAGTGTACTCTTACAACATTGAAATGGGCTCTGACCTGTAATTGATGATTGGCTCGAAAAACATAGCAATAGATTAGCAATATCGAAAGGGCCTTGATCGTTCTCTTACCATCTGCAAGACTAGATTTGTTAGCAAGGCAGCAATGGCGGTTAACCCGATTCTCCTTCCCGCCATTTTCACCCGTTTCTTATTCTTCTCTCTCTCATCAGCAAAATCAACTAAATGATGACAACCGCAATCTCTTGATCCGTGAATTGGATGACGCCAAGCTAAACCTCTCTCGTTTGGGCAAAACCCGCTTTCAATTTCTTTTCTAAATACTTGCTTAGAAACAAATACAAACATTATTCTTCACTCCTTCATGCTTGTAAACATGATTGCAGAATCTGTTCTCGATGAAACAATTCAAAGGATCGATGCTAAAACCCTTCTTCTCAAAGAACGCGAGAAGCTTCTCGAGGACATGGAAAACAAGATCACTTATCTTCGGTCTGTTCTATCCAGTCTTAAGGTTCAATTCTTTCTCAAGAAGCTTTGATTTTATTAGTTTATAAATGCAGTATAATTGCAAGTGGAGATAATTCACGTCTGAATAACTGTCACTAGAATTAAGCATTCCAAAGTATGTAAGCTAGAATAAATCTAGAAGAGCAGTGATAGACTTAAATCAGAATAAAATCTGGATTGATAACCGTATTTACGATCCTGAAATGGGGATCTCAAAGTTCCCAGATTGCCCGTCTTTCCCCAATTGATGTCTAGAAAAGGGAAATAAGTAATTTGAAAATAGAAGATTGAATTGTACAGTGTACTGAATTAGAGTTTACTCAGTTACTATCTTTTAAATGGACATTGCAAGTTGAAGTTTTGTTTTACATTATATTAATTGCAGGATGAGTCGTTACTTGCTGATGAAAGGCTTAAAGCTTTACAAGAGGAGGTTCGTTTTAAATGGCTTGTTATAGATATAATCTCTATTCCAATTGCTTATCCTATTGGATTCCTTGCCTGATGTTATTGATGAGTGGTAATAAATGCTTGGTTTATTTGCAATAATCAACTGAAGTGAGTTGTAGGCTTGATGCTCCTAGGTACATTTGCTTTGGGATGTTTCGAGAAAGAACAACTTTGAACTTCACGTTTTGGAATTGAAAGCGCAGGATGCTGAGGAAAGGCTCGAGGCTGTTACTTCGAAAGTTGAGAAGGTCGGCATTTTACTTTCATTGATTTCATTGCCGTGTAGACTGTCTGCTTGTGAATAATGAAGAGGACTTCTTTGTCACTTCCTAGTTTGTTAGACATTGTGACTATCTAATACTCTGAATTACTGAGCATTTCTATGTATTAAAACCTTTATGAATTTTAAAAATCAAATTCATTAATAACAGAAAAAAAGCATTAAAAACCATCTTATTGTTGTTCCAATTTTATAATATATTGTCTCCCGCCGGGGGGTGGGGAGTTCTGGTCGCCATTAAGATGTTTTAAACAGAAAGTTATTTATTTCTCTTGATACTCTTATTAATTTGTTAATGGAAATGACCATTCTTGTCAGAACTCAATAGCGGCTAATTTGTGCTTTCCTTGATTGTTGTGTAGAAGACTTTAAAATATTTATTCTGTTTTGATTTTGTTAGCAAGGCAGCAATGGCGGTTAACCCGATTCTCCTTCCCGCCATTTTCACCCGTTTCTTATTCTTCTCTCTCTCATCAGCAAAATCAACTAAATGATGACAACCGCAATCTCTTGATCCGTGAATTGGATGACGCCAAGCTGAACCTCTCTCGTTTGGGCAAAACCCGCTTTCAATTTCTTTTCTAAATACTTGCTTAGAAACAAATACAAACATTATTCTTCACTCCTTCATGCTTGTAAACATGATTGCAGAATCTGTTCTCGATGGAACAATTCAAAGGATCGATGCTAAAACCCTTCTTCTCAAAGAACGCGAGAAGCTTCTCGAGGACATGGAAAACAAGATCACTTATCTTCGGTCTGTTCAATCCAGTCTTAAGGTTCAATTCTTTCTCAAGAAGCTTTGGTTTTATTAGTTTATAAATGCAGTATAATCGCAAGTGGAGATAATTCACGTCTGAATAACTGTCACTAGAATTAAGCATTCCAAAGTATGTAAGCTAGAATAAATCTAGAAGAGCAGTGATAGACTTAAATCAGAATAAAATCTGGATTGATAAACGTATTTACGATCCTGAAATGGGAATCTCAAAGTTTCCAGATTGCACGTCTTTCCCCAATTGATGTCTAGAAAAGGGAAATAAGTAATTTGAAAATAGAAGATTGAATTGTACAGTGTACTGAATTAGAGTTTACTCAGTTACTATCTTTTAAATGGACATTGCAAGTTGAAGTTTTATTTTACATTATATTATTGCAGGATGAGTCGTTACTTGCTGATGAAAGGCTTAAAGCTTTACAAGAGGAGGTTCGTTTTAAATGGCTTGTTATAGATATATCTCTATTCCATTTGCTTATCCTATTGGATTCCTTGCCTGATGTTATTGATGAGTGGTAATAAATGCTTGGTTTATTTGCAATAATCAACTGAAGTGAGTTGTAGGCTTGATGCTCCTAGGTACATTTGCTTTGGGATGTTTCGAGAAAGAACAACTTTGAACTTCACGTTTTGGAATTGAAAGCGCAGGACGCTGAGGAAAGGCTCGAAGCTGTTACTTCGAAAGTTGAGAAGGTCGGCATTTACTTTCATTGATTTCATTGCCTTGTAGACTGTCTGCTTGTGAATAATGAAGAGGACTTCTTTGTCACTTCCTAGTTTGTTAGACATTGTGACTATCTAATACTCTGAATTACCGAGCATTTCTATGTATTAAAACCTTTATGAATTTTAAAAATCAAATTCATTAATAACAGAAAAAATGCATTAAAAACCATCTTATTGTGTTCCAATTTTATAATATATTGTCTCCCGCCGGGGGGTGGGGAGTTCTGGTTGCCATTAAGATGTTTTAAACAGAAAGTTATTTATTTTCTCTTGATACTCTTATTAATTTGTTAATGGAAATGACCATTCTTGTCAGAACTCAATAGCGACTAATTTGTGCTTTCCTTGATTGTTGTGTAGAAGACTTGAAAATATTTATTCTGTTTTGATTTTGTTATCTCTTGATATGCTTGATCTTGAAATTATTTTGTATTTTTCTCACTTAAAATTTCTTTCCCTTGCTATTAAACGGCAGAAGTTGTTACAGAGCAATGGATTCAGATTCAACATCTTGAGCAGGCACTTCAAATTGCACAAGTATTGTTTTCCTTGGACGCTAGTGATATCAGTTATATGTTAATTCATACGGAAATTTAAAAGAAGGGGAAATATAACGTCCTGCCATTATATTAAATCTTTTAATTTGTATCATTGCTTTTTGTTGTACAGATTAGGCATTGCAATATCAAAGGCAAAGGTGTATGAGATGCACATTCTTGAAGGTAATATAATAAGCTGACATATTCTTCCGGACCTTTTTTTTCCTGTCTCGATACATTTGATTTTTTTTGGTAAAACTATTTTTTCTTTCAAAGCATTATGAACAACTATACCGACGACAGTTACTTCTAATTAAAAGCAATGATATTCCTCCGGATGCTTATCTTTCATGTGAGTCTTATTCAAATCTAATCTTTATGCAAATGTAGTTTATTAGTGACCATTCTGAAATACATCTTCCAAAGATGTTTGGGGCAGTGGAACATTATTCATTTGGACTAGGATCTACCATGAATTACTACATGTCTCAAGCTTTTCCACAATCGAGAAGATTTTACTCAGCAACTAAAAAATATCACCATGAGGTAGCTTAACATTGCAATGGGATTTTGTAGGATTGATGTATCTGAAAAATAATCATGTCACTCTTGAAGGTCTTTACATGTGAGAACTTCATAGTATACATAGTGAAAGTTTCCAACAATAAAAGATGCTCAATGGAAAGACCACTAACTCCAAGGCATGATTCTTTCTATTAAACCAGTTTTTACTCTTAATCATGTTGAATCTATGGAAACTTTTGGCCTCTTCCAACCATTGATGTGTGTTGCTCAGTTTTGCAAACAAGATTGTCGGTAATCATGGTTCAATCAGCCAAAAAGTTTTTATTTTTCTTTCGAACTATAATAGTACAAGTACCTTGATGACTTAGATCATGAACTTTTGTTGGCTTTATATTAGAGTCCTGTGTAATGTTGCCTCAACCAATTTAATCTATATGCTGATATTAATTTCCAAATCCCTGATATAATTTGTTAGAAAGGGTGAACTGTCTTTCACTTCCAACTTGAATCATCTGTCAACCATCTCTTTGTATATATGCTAACATGAATTCTGCATTCTTGTGTAAGTGATAACAGATTAGTTTTCGTTACCAAAGCACATAATTTGGTTTTCTGTACGGTTTAAGGATTTAGATTTACAAGAAAATTGTATTTAATCAATTTATGTATTCCTTGTGGTTGTTGCAAATTTATGGGAAAAATGATAAATAACTTTACAAGTTAATATGCATCAATATTGCCCAAGTCCAAATATACACACGCACACGCACATACCTTCACTGGGAACCTTTGCATTTGGAATAAACAAATGTCTTCATTCTTGTCTGTTTCTTGGCAGCTGCAAGGTTTCATCAAACAAGAAATGCGAAGAAACGAATTCACTGCAACCTTTGCCAACGATGAACTCGTATTCTTTCTGGTATGTTCTTGCATATCTACTGCCTTATTCTGGACCTGGAATCTTAAATTGCACATGTAATTCATTTTGGTGGGAATTTCAGGCATCTGCTTTGATTACCTTCCCTGTACTGAGTGCTTGGATGGCGCTGTCATCACGGCTCAACTAGATCAAGGAAATCTTCCCTTCAATAGTAGTGGCTAACCCTGAAATAGTGTAAATCATCTCAGCTTGCTGCCAGTTTATGTTATCCACTGTCATTTGGAATTTAAGGTCATGTTTTGCAACTAATAGGTGAGAGATTTGACGGCCGATGCACACCCAATACCGGGTTTGTAATCCGTTAGACCCAGCCTATGCGTCATGACTAGGTCTAGTGAATTACGTTAATTTTCCAAAACATTCTTTTATACTTTAAAATCATAATATATCCAAAACGATTGTAAAACATGAAAATCCTAAGTAAAACAATTATCAAATATCGTCAAGTGTACCAATTAACAACACATCAATAATAGAACAAAATATGTCGTAAAACAAATATAAAAAATATAGGTATATGTCACCAAAATAAAGACAGTTTGGAAGATGAAAATATTACAACAAATGGTATAGCACGAAATGTGTTGATTCTCCAAGTGAGTGGTTTGGAGTGTCTATCAAAAAATATAAAAGGGGTAAAAGATTGGGGAGTGAGCTAGAGGGCCCAGTGTGTTCCAATAAGTAGATAATAAATCATATTGGTAATTTCAAAAAGTAGTTCAGTAAAAATTTCATAAAAGTGACAGTAAGTTTTCAGTAAAAACATTTAATTGCCCTTCAACTGTAACAAATATACAATTCCCATAAATGTATCTATAAGGATTTACCATAGGTTCATTTGGCGTAGGAGTCAACCTAACAGAGTATCTTGAGGGTCTTAGAGCCTACCCAAGGGAGTACCTTAGGACTTAAGAGCCTACCCAGTGATCATCTTAGGTCTGTAAGGATTTATCAACTTGATCAGAGTCAAACCTCCATACTCCAGAATTGTAATCAGACAGTATCTCAATAAAACAATTTAGATAGTAAACAATAATTTCATTATCCATAAATCAGGCAAATTATATTTTCCAATAAAAACAGATAACTAGAGATCATGTATTGAGCAAAATAGTTCATAATCGGTAAATCATGAAACCATGATATCAATAAGGGTGTGTTTGGTTCACGGAATGTAAGATTACCAGTGAGAATAAAAGATTACCAGAGAATAAGATTACTAGGAATGTTGTATTTTGTGTTTGGTTGGTTTAGCATGAATGTAAGTTACCGTGTTTGGTTAAAGGAATAAAAGATTATTGGAATGTATATTTGACCAAATTATCCTTATTATATATTTTTTTTTCTAACAAGTTGGAAAATATTTATATATTTTCTTTAAAAAATTTAAATTCATAAAATTTATAATTTTTTTTACAAAATTGAAAATATATAAAGGTTTAATGAAATGTTAAAATTTTATTTTAATCCCTAAACTTCATATAAATTTTAATTATAGATTTTTTTTTGTAAATCTAAAATAGTTTAAGGATAAATTTGTAGTTTAACATTCATAGAATTTTATTATTCAATGACAGAATAATGATATTTTGAGAAAAAAAATTAAGGGCATTTTAGTCCAAAACGCCGGTAATCCAACAACACCTAAGGAAAGGGAGGTAATGACATCTACAGTAATATACCCCAAAAAATTCACTATTAGAAATGTAAGATTACGGGAATGACATTCCTGACCAACCAAACGGGGAAATGTGGATTTCATTCCCATGAGAATCTCACATTCCCCAACCAAACACACCTTTAGGTAAAACATTTATAAATCAATTCGGGTAATCTATCATTTTTAGAAAAGACAATAATTATATCACACATAAGGAACAAACCTCAAAAAGGAATCAGACTAGAAAGTCTATTGAACATCGACCTTGTTGTGCTCTACAACAGCACTCGAACGAGTAATAACGGGCTCGCACGGTCTGATAGATCGAAAGGAGCTGGGTTGAGTTGACGAGTGATCGGGAGGGTCTTGAGTACCCACAGCGGTTAAACGTTGTACGTCGATGGAGCAACGATAAGGGAACAAACTAAGTCGGGATTTTCTTGAAAAAGCTTGAGGAGTTCAATAGCGGTGGTGGTGTGATGAACAAATGTCGGAATTGGTTGAAAAAAGAAGACAAAATAATGGCGGTGACACTTCTTTCTAATGAGCCTTCGAATGACGATTCACGGAAAAATGATAGTTCTCAGTGAGGAGTTAGAGGGGTATTGGTCGCGGGAGGTTGACGGTCACGATGATCGGGGAGATGATGAACACAACGGTCAAAGGCGACGGTAATCGATGATGGAAATGGGCTATTGTCACCAAACTATCACCATACTTCAATAGCCTATAAAACTCTATCTCGTACTCTGAGATTGTCATATCTCCCTAGACCAAATCCTAAAACTGTTGTCGTCTCTTAGCCAGATAACGCCCTCCAAGGTAACAGTTCTTGAAGCGCTCCTTAAAGAAATCTCAAGTCATACGTCAGCAGGAAGGCTGCTCACTATAGACTCCCACCAGGTGTGAGCATTCCTATCTAGCATCGAAAAGACTCCCAATTATCTCCTCGGTGGATCTAATCCAGCTGATCCATGTGGCTCTCAGTGTCATAGAGCAAGTTCTTAGCCTCAATAGGGGCTCCACCAATCGGGCCTCAAACATCCTAACCTCATTATCGATCAAAGTTTGCATAATGGGAACTTCAGGTGTAGCACTCGTTGCTCTAACTACACCCTGAATCAACTGTCTACCTAATGTCTCATCCAAAACCATTCCCGCAGACTCAGTCCCAAAATTGACGTTCCTCTGACAAGTGTTGCCATACCAATCTTGAGAGCATACGGAGGATCACTTGAAACAGAAAAGCCAGAAGGGGCAGGAGGATCTATTGGCAGTGGTGGGTCCTCAGTCGGATCGAAGAATAACAGGTTGACCTCGCGTGCGAGAAGGTCGACGTCCTTGCCTAGCGCTCATGGCGACAGATCGCGGGGCTCACTACACAAGGGTAAAAACTTGGGATTAAATTTAACATTTGGAGTATCGTACACAATTAAACTTCTAAAAATTTGGTGACATGGGCCTTATAGCAAATTTGAAGGGAAAAAAAAATCAAATTAAAGCCAAATGAAATTTGGGGTGTTACAGGGTCGGTGTATAATACTCATATCAGCTGTTGCCAACTACATGAATCCGGGTCTGGATTTATACATTTCGATATCTAAATAGATCCTTTTAAATCTGCACCCTGCAAGTATTTGATTTTGGTTTAATGCATCATCATCGCAATTAGAGACTACTGCAAAGCAGTGATACCAACTGATGAACTATATGCGCAGATGTTTGGTTAGGATGAAGAAGATCAAATCATTTTCAGAATGCATGCGTCGCCTGTCAGGTTGTGACAATTATCATGAAGGGGGACGTACCGAATTATTCTCATATTATTACCATTATCCTTTGTGTTCTTTTAGCCCCTTATATTGGACCACTGGCTTTTACCCTTCATCTAAAGTATGGTATATTTTGTTTCCAAAACTATATAAGTTTATACATTATATAAAAGAAAAGAAAAAACATATTAAATATTTAAAAACTAGTTGAGTCTTGGTTCTTGAATGATGGAACTTGAGCATTAATAATCCATTATTCAAATCTATATAATCCCCCATCTCTTATTAGAAAATTCTCTTGATATTCAAACATCCTTGTTATGGTCGCGTGGTGTTTTCATATATGGTACCTATATATTGATGGTCATTGAACTATGTTTAGATTTTAAATTATTAAACTTTCAAAAGTTATAAATATCATTAAATTTATCAAAATTACTCTTATTGCAATGATTATCTGTTTTTTTTAAGTTTAATGACTATAATGATTATTTGAGTATATTAAGTAACCCGTAGTATACTTACCCCAATATTTATCGTATTACAAAAAACCTAAATGGTAGCATTTTGACCCTTGTAGAGCCTAAGAAACCTAAGCTCGCCCACCTTTTTATTACAACGCCAACTCTAATTTTAAATGTTGGTATAGGTGACGGGGATGCCTTATTTACACAGAACCAACTAATAACTTTGAATTATTTGATTTTCAACTACTTTAACCCATGAATTTTCACTGATAACCTACCAAATACCAACTACACCAACAGAAAATCTGCTTTGTGAATTGGAGTTTAGTTGGAAATTGGGCAGCTACCTTGGACTTTTTTCATAGTCAAGTTTAGGATCATTGCATAGGGATGTGTTATGACATCTTAATATAATTACCGAGGAAAGCCGTTATCGTTAATATTTTTTTAATATTTTCAGTAATTCGTTACTTAAAATATTATGTTTCTATCGAAAATATTAATATTGTTCGTTACCTAAAATATTTAACATTTGGTAAAGTGCTACCTAAAGCATTATTATTTTCTACCGGAAATATTAATATTGGGTGCTACATAAATGTTATTTTTAAAAAACATTACACCTATGTTTACCTCCTTACACCTATGTTTTTTAAAATACATTTGATTTGGCACAGTTAGAGGCTCTTTAAATTGTATTAAAAACATTTGGTAATCAATGTTGAATTACAATTAAAGAATATGGACGGATGCAACCATATCTAAGCTGCCTCATTCACGATGTTGTTGCAAATTTTGCACTCTAACAACGAATGAGAATGAAGCTCTATTTTGATGCATATCAAGTAACATATTTATTCGATTTCTGACGTTGTAGAAGAATAAAATTAGATTAAAAGAATTATTTTATAATAAATATTTAATATTAATTAATCAATTAACAAATCAATATTTAAACTTTTTTAGAATATGTTTTAACTATAACAATCACGACATCACCTGCGCAACCCAATGAATCAACAATATTTTAATGATCAACGAATTATAAACTATAATACGAATATACAAAATGAAGAAGATATAATCAAACATTAAACATCAAACTACCTCAGTTGTTAAATGGATAATTGTTATCTCTTAAGATTTCAGGTTTGATCACCAACGATGTAGAATATTATAGTGTTCATTGTCAAATGATTGAGAGTCTCTAAAACGTGATTTTGGTCTTCGATCATCTTACGGTTTTGTTTCAGTATTTAATCTGATTTATATGCTTCTGTAACGTCTTTAATTACTCTACATAAATAATACACGGATTACTCCATT